TGTGAAGTTGTTTCACAGTAGGCAAAATCAACAAATTTGGGTATTGACTAAACCTGGTCCTTAAGAATCAACTCAAGACTTTATGAAACTGACCTACATAGTTCAAAAGGTTTCAGAATAATGGTGTGAAAATAGCATGTGTGATTTACAACTGCCCTTGTAAAAGAATTTTTTTTTCCAAAGTTCTAATTGTCAGGAAACTTCAGATTGTATATACCAAAGATCCAGCACCTGAAATGTCATGAATCTTAAAAACCCCTGCCTCACACAGGGCAAATTTTATATAAACTCCATGTGGGAGATAGAATAATCACCTCTCAAAGATGTCCCCAGAAGCTGTGAATATGTTAGGGTACATGGCAAAGGGGAATTAAGGTAGTTTATCACTAACCTTGGGATGAGGAGATTGTCCTGGATTATCCCTGTAGACTCAATGTAATCACTAGGGTCCTTATAAATGGAGGAGGGGGGCAGAAGAGAAAGAATCAGAGTTGACAGCACGAGAAGGGCTCAACCAAACATTACTCACTTGGAATATGAGCCAAGGAATATGGGTGGCCTTCAGAAGCTAGAAAAGGCAAGGAAATAGATTCTCCCCTCGGGCCTCCAGAAGGAACGTACCGGTGCCAATACCTTCATTTTAGGCCAGTATGACCCATTTTATAAATCTGACCTCTAGAACTGTAAGATAATAAATTTGTGTTGGCTTAAGCTATGGAGTTTGTAGTTGTTACAGTAAGAATATGAAACTAATACAGTCCTGGATGAGAAAAGTATAAATGAGACATGACTAGGATTTATGTAGCTCACCCACTATCATTTATGCTGTTTTAAACCAAGATTCACCATCTTGATAGTTATGGTTTGGCAATTACAACAAACATCATCCTTTGATGATGAAGCTGTGACTTGCTTCCAAAAGGCAGTGTTTGTGAAGCTCTTTCACGCTTCCTAAACCAATCAAGTGAGTTTAAATGGCAAAAGTTAAGGATTCTAAGGCCAGTTCTCAAAATCTTGAAGACCCATCATAACTAGCCACTTAGCACTGTTTCACTTGTCACTTGTGATCGTTATCATAAAACACAGTTTTGTGTTTAGATGGAGATTTGTCTTGGGTAAGTAGAGAACCAAATTAAAAACTGTATAATTATTTTATAATTATAATTATATAATTATATTTTTATATATAATATATAAAATTATATTTATATTTATATTTATTATATACATAAAATATATTATAATAAATATAAAATATAAATATAATTATATACAATTATTATATTTTATATAAATTATATAGTATATATTTATATTTATATTTATATTTATATTTATTATTATATATTATATAAAATATAATTATAACATATAATATAATTATAATATATATATATACATTGGACTGGTAATATGTCTGAGGTTACTATAAAGACTCTGGACTGGTAGAGTGAAAAAGGAATATAACCTGAAGTCTTTCTACAATTATTCTACGAAATAATTTTCACAAAAGAAAGACACATTCTGACATCTAATAATTTCTAAATTGATGTGATGCTTAATGAATGGCCATAATAAGATTATCAAACATATAGCAAGAGCTAATTACCAGCCATTCAATTTGGAAATCACAATCATTACAAAATGGCTTTACAGCTGGATTTTTGAGTGTTTGTCATGACAGGATGAAAAATGAGTCAGGAATTCAGTCCTGTCTTGTCTGAACTTTTCAAGGTATATTCTGGTTTTTAGTTATATGAGGAAAAATTTCAGTCTGGATGGTTTTTTTCAAACTTAAGATGTGCCCCTATTATGATGGATCTGGTCTTAATGTTTTCTTTAGATCCTAGTTCTTCAAAGTGTGCATGGAGGACTAATGTACAAATTAAGGGGGCACCAAATGGGAAAGAGGAGGAAGGGAAGAGGTGAATGGTGAGGCAAGTAAGGAGCCTAGGGTACAAAATTTAAGGAGGTGCTTAGTCTCTGTGCACATTGCCAGCCTACACTTGCATGAACCTGAGGGTGTTGCCTCCTTAAGACAGAGGTGCCCAGGGCATGAATGTAAGGAGGCAGTCACTCTCAGTATCATGCATATGCCAAGTTGGCACTTGCCCCATTTTGATGGTGAATACCTCCTGACGTTTTGCAACCAAGGCACCTCATCTGCCTCAATAGTCTCTCCCTAAAGGTGAGGGCATGGCCAATGATGGCTGTAATGATAGATATAAGCCTGTCTCTACTTGGAAGTCAGGCTTGTCCTCGGATTCCTCATGCATTCCAGACCATCTCTCTTTGGCAAAGCCTGAACTGCTAAGCAGAATTCACAGAAGTCTTACCTTAGTATGGCCCCAGATCAGACTTGAGCATGATCTCTCCTTTGAACCATACTTCCTGAGGCTACCCTGATTAATGTTCTAGGCTTACCCTTCGAGAGAGCTCGACTCTACACATGGCTCCAATCTAAAACACACCTTCCATGTCTTACAGAACTTTAGAGGACAGGATTCATTCAGCTCTCTTATATGCCTTTGGATTTCAAGAAACTCTTCAGTCAATGATTATTTGAATCTATTTTGTGCAAATAGAAATACTTCAAATTTCATAAAATCTATACAAAGTTGGAATGGTAAACTATAGATGTAGTTACCATGATGTTTGCATCTCTAGACGTGCTGCCATTACCAATTCTGTCTTGTATGCAAGGGGTCACTTGTAGGAATGCTAATGGCTACACAATGAAGATTTACTGTGGGTTTTATTTAGAGAATCAATAATAAGCAGACGTAACAGAATGCATGCAATCCTTTGAACTCTCCTCCCACAGTTTAGGCCAGGTGTGGATGTCTGCAGACGCCATAGCCACAGTTCTGGTAGAGAGTACTCTCCGTATGATGGGGTCAGTTGCCAGGGCACATCCATGTGATTGTGTAAAAGTGGAATCTCCCTGGTCAGGGAAGTGACTTTATTAGAAAGGGAAAGCCTCTGGAACCCAGTGGTTGGTATCAGCTTATTTTCTATTGAGCTGGGCCAGCTTTCTGTGCAGCTAGCCAAAGAGGGAAGGAGATGAGTCTCCGGAGCCATCCATATTTGTCTCTTGGTAAGGTTTACTGTTCTCGTTGCGTGATTGTGAGCAGTTTGAGAGGAAAGACAGAGTCCTACAGATCTTTGTAACTCCCATGGTGCCCTGCCTGTAGTTGAGTGCTTAATACATACTTGTCGATGGAATGAGTGAAATAATAGACTTTAGTCAATGCTGAATAAGTGCTATATTAAAAAATAAATACATGCTTTTGTGGCAAATGGAAAGCATGCTGTGCCTCTCCAATGGCAAACCACATATTTTGGCAAGGAACAAACCAGTACATATGGTTGGAGGTGGCTGTTGTGTGTTCTTAATGTGGAAATTGGTAGCATTCTTTCCCCCCAGCCCTTTTCTCTTTTGTTTCAAAATGTTTGCTTCTGCCGTATTGAGAGGAGGAGTTAAGACAAAAGATCTCTTTTAGTGTTCAGTGCAGTGAGGTTTCCAGCCAGCTTTCTCTTTAATGCCCTTGTAGTTGTCACAGACAAAGCATATGGAGGGGACAAGTGTGGGGGTAAACAATAGTGTTCATTTTGGAAATACTCATTCGGTATTCATTGTAACAGTGACAATCATTTTCATTATTCTCATTCTAGTTAATATATTTTTGAACATTTCCTCTGTGTTCTGCAGGGTCCTGGCATGTAGTCCTCAACCTTATGTGGTGGTTACTCTTTATTAAACCCATTACTGGCACATTCCCAGACCCGAATTCACCTCAGAGTCATTCCAGGTGTTTGTTTTATAGTTATATTCCTTATACTCCAGCAGCAGCTGTCGTATATAGGGACCCCACTGAGATCCAGTCACACACGTGTCGCTGGGTCTTCCCAAAGCCTTCCAAGCTGGCAGTTGTCTTTTCATCTGTGATGGTTTCATTCTTCCATAGGAGAGAGCTACATCCTCTTCTGCATGTTCAAGCAGTGTGTTATCAAAACTCCAGCTTTATAAATATTGGCTAACTTTGTTCCTAGTTTCCCTACATCCTACCTATCTTCTCATTGAAATATTTATTGAAAAGTGAAGCTATAGTTGGTTGGCTGGTAAATTGTTTTCCTGTTAATCAGAAAAACAGAGGGGTGCCTGGGTGGTTCAGTCGGTTGAGAGTCCGACTTCTGATTTTGACTCAGGTCATGATCTCAGGGTTGTGAGATCGAGCTCCACGTTGGGCTTTGTGCTCAGTGGGTAGTCTGCTTAAGATTCTCTCTTTCCCTTTCCCTCTGTCCCTCCCCCCATTCGCACTTTCTCTCTCTCTCTCAAATAAAGTCTTTAAAAAAAAAAAGAAAAACACAAACATGTTTCTAAATATGTCCACTTAATTTTGAAAAAAATAAACTGGTCATTAAGGGCAGAGCTGATGATTCTAAGCCAGAGTTTCTTGTTTAAAAAAATGTGTATGGTTTGATAGATTTAGATAAATACCCATGAAACAGTCACCACAATCAAGACATAGGCATATCAATCACCTCCAAAACTTCCTGGTATCCTTTTGTGTTTTTTTTTTCCCCTGTGGTAAAAACACTTAACATGAGATCTACCCTTTTAATTTCTTTTAGTGCACAGTACAGTACTGCTGTTAGCTGTAGGCACTCTGTAATATAGCAGCTCTCTGTAATTTACTCATCTGAGTATAAACGGAAACTTTCTATCTATTGAGCCATTCCCATTTCCCCTCCCGATCCTAACCCCAGCAGCCACCATTCGTCTCTCTGTTTCTGTGAGTTTGGCTATTTTAGATACTTCATGTAAGTGGAATCAGGCAGGATTTGCCCTTCTGTGGCTGATTTATTTCACTTATTTTACCTCCAGATTTATCCATGTTGTTGCAAATAGCAGGATTTCCTTCTTTTATAAGGATCAATAATATTCCCCTACATGTGTACACCACATTTTCTTTATCCATTTGTCTGTTGATGGACACATGGGCGGTTTCCATATCTCGACTATTAGGAATAGTGCTGTAGTGGCCATGGGAGTGCAGGTACGTCTTTGATCACAATTTCAGTTATTTTGGATATTCTCAGAAGTGGAATTGCTGGATGATATGGTGGTTCTATTTTTAATGTTTTGAGAACGACCCATACTGTTTTCCATGGCGTAAAGCCAGAGTTTCTGAACCTCAGCACTACTGACATCTTGGACCAAATAATTCTTTGCTGTGGGAGCCTATCTTATGCATCCTAAGAAGTTTTCCAGCATCCCTGGCCTCAACCCAGCAAATGTTAGTAGCAACCCCTTCCCTTACAGTGTGATAATCAAAATGATCTCTGGACATTACTAAATGTCCTCTAGGGATGCAAAATTCCCCCCATTGGGAACCACTGCTCTTTTTTTAAATTTAATTTAATTTTATTATGTTAGTCACCATACATTACATCATTAGTTTTTGATGTAGTGATCCATGATTCATTGTTGTCGTATAACACCCAGTGCTCCATGCAGTCCATGCCCTCCTTCATACCCATCACCAGGCTAACCCATCCCCTTACCCCCCTCCCCTCTAGAACCCTCAGTTTATTTCCCGGAGTCCAGAGTCTCTCATGGTTCGTCTCTCCCTCCGATTCCCCCCCCTTCATTTTTCCCTTCCTTCTCCTAATGTCCTCCATGCTATTCCTTATGTGCCACGAATAAGTGAAACCATGTGGTAATTGACTTTCACTGCTTGACTTATTTCACTTAGCATGATCTCCTCCAGTCTCATCCATGTTGATGTAAAAGTTGGGTATTCATCCTTTCTGATGGCTGAGTAATATTCCATTGTATATATTGACCACATCTTCTTTATCCATTCGTTTGTTGAAGGGCATCTTGGCTCTTTCCACAGTTTGGCTATTGCGGACATTGCTGCTGTGAACACTAGGGTGCATATGGCCCTTCTTTTCACTACATCTGTGTCTTTGGGGTAAATACCCAGTAGTACAATTGCTGGGTCATAGGGTGGCTCTATTTTTAATATTCTGAGGCATCTCCACACTGTTTTCCGAAGCGGCTGTACCAACTTGCATTCCCCCCAACAGTGTAACAGGGAAACCCACTGTTCTAAGCCCATAGTCTGAAAAGCTTGACCTTGCACCAGAACAGAAATCTGCTGTTTCTTCTTGAGGCTCTGTAGGCAGGTTGTATAGTTCAATATTTTGGCTTTCTTTGTTAGATATGAGCAATCATTGAGTATTGCATATTCCTTAGATAAATATAAATGTGCCGAATTCATTCCCTTAACAGTTTATAATCAAAATAAGATTTAAGATTTTTTTAGTTGACTATTTCAAAACTAGTGATAGATTCTCATGTTGAATGTTTTATTCCGTAATAGGTCTTTTTCAATGGAAAGCTTTTAAAATAGGCATGAATAATTTTATGCTTGAGGCACTTTTATTCTTCTAAGTGTTCATATAAACTGGTTCAATTTATATCTTTCTTGATCTCTCTTGCATTTCTAATTGTTTTTCTCTGTAACAAATAGAGAGGGGTTATATCAAGAAATCATGTGGGAGGGGTCTTTCTATGCTTTGAAAAGGAGATAAGAGAAGGTAATCATAGTAAGAGACCTGAAAACCTTAAAAAAAAAAAAAAAAAGAAGACCGAGGAATAATTAAGTCAAGGGTAAAACTTAGTTTTCTTTCTTCCTAAATATATCCAGCTGTCATTTTTCAAGCATAATATCTCTTCCCTTAAAAAAAAAACTTATACTTAAGACCCTTTATGTTGCCACTTTTGCTTTTTACTTAATTAAAGAAAATGGGAAAATATCTAAAATACCAGCTTATTTAAGTAACCTCTCAAAACTATGAGGGAACTTGAGCAAACAGGGCATGAGATTTTATAGTCTGTGTCAGAAACCTAATCCTGCACCTCAGAACTCTTACTGTCTTGGTCAAAAAAATGTATTTTTATGTCGGACTTAAATCTCTCAGGCTGCGGTGGGGCATGGTTTCTTCCACTCTGCCCTCACTGCAAAATTGCTTTTCTTCAGCCTTTGAGTTTGAGCCATTCAGATTCTTAAAGCACATTATTTAAAATCTTCCTTTAGCTTTCTGTCTCCAGATTAGTTGATCTATTTTTTTTTTTTTTTTTGGCCATGATCTGTCATTACCTGCAACCCTCCACATGCTTCCTTCAGGATCTTCACTTTCCTTTGCAGTGCAGATCCTTGAAACCAGGCAGAGCTGAGGATGATAGGTAAGGTATCCTGACGGGCCTTAAGCTACTGTTCTGACTAGAATAGAATCCTCTCTTCTTCATCATCAAGCAAAAAGTTCAGGTTCTCTTTGCCTTAAAAACAGTCCCTGCGTGGAGTCTGCTTTCAAACTTTCCAAACTGCTCAAGTTCACCACCTCTACCTAAATACACTGCTCTCTATCTTATAAGGCCTGGGAACATGGAAATTAACTGCAAATGAGCTCCTTATTTTCTGCTGTTAATGCCCTTGAAAGGCCCCTTTGCTGAAATTGGGCTCTCCTGGTGCTTTTGTACTTTTCTCTACTGTGCTCTTCCTCTCCAGCCTCCCTGCCAGGGTTTTGGTTTTGACAGCCGCAAAGGCCCATCCCATCCGTGCGTTCTCTTCGTGTGGCTTTTTTCTAACCCCCTGCACCAAGCTAAGCTTCCGGACAAAGCCTCTTGAGGAATATTTGAGAACTTTTGATCCACGTGTGATCCCTTTGAAAATCCAACTCGGGATACTCTTTGTTACCCGTTATCTTCTTTGCCTCAGTTTCTTTTATTTAGAAACTGTGTGCTGACCTGATTGAAATATTCTTAGCCCACATGAGTGAGCGGCTGTGTCCAGCAACTGAAGCAGGGCAGCACCTGCTGTTCTCTTTCTGGCCGAGAGCAGGGAAGGAGGCTGCCGGCCCGTCCACCACACACGAGCTGGAGGAAACAGGAAGAAGGACTGTGATGTTTAATCAATCTTTGAAGCAGTTTTCCCTAAGTCAAAATCAAGGTGATATATAATTTAGAAAAGCGTGTACTAAATGCAGCATGGTATCCTGACTTGGATACTGGAACAGAAAAAAAAAAAAAAGACATCAGTGGAAAACTGGCATCTGATGAAAGCTGGAGTTTTGTTAATGGTGATGTACCAATGTTAGTTTCTTAGTTTTGACAAATGACCGTGGTTATATAGGATGGGAATGTTAGGGGGCCTGGGGTGAAGGGTATGTGAGAACTCTGGGTACTACCTTTGCAACTTTTCTGTAAATCTGAAATTATCCCAAAATAAAAAGTGTATTTTAGAGGGCCACAGCTCAGTCCTAGACCTGCCTCATACCCTCACACTTTCATACACACTGGATGGAGTTGGGGAAATTGAGGCAGGAGACTGGCCACACTGTACTAGGACTCATAACAGTTTCCCTTGGCCACTCAACATTCCCTTCCTGCTGAGGCCACTTTTAGTTTTTGAGTCTTCCCATGAATTAAAAATAAAAAAATGGAGGGGCGCCTGGGTGGCTCAGTCGGTTAAGTGATGACTCTTGGTTTCGGCTCAGGTCATGATATCAGGGTCGTGAGATAGAGCCCCGCCTCAGGCTCTAGGCTCAGTGCAGGGTCTGCTTGAGATTCTTTCCCTCTCTCTCTGCCCCTCCCTCTCCTTGTGCGTGTTCGCTCTCTCTCTCTCTCTCTCTCTCTCTCTCAAATAAAATTAAAATAAATAAAAGCATTTTTTCTCTAGAATAATCTCAGTTGCTTGCTTCTGTTTCTTTGGTAAGCAATATGTTAAGGACCCAATTCAAGAAAAAAAAATGTTAACATAAGAAACAGCTTTAGCATGCAGGAAAGAATTGTTAAGGCTATAACTCATCTGTATCCCTAATGAAAATATCTGATCATATATTAGTGCTCTTTACTGTGCTATTTTTTCCACCTTCTGCTCTCTGTTTATCTCTAAATTACTTACTCATTAGCTTGCTTCCTTATTCAATAAACATTTATAAAACCAGGTACTGAGCTTAACCCTGAGGAAAAGAAAAAGAGCAGAAAGAAGTGTGGTTCCTGCCTGTAAAGAGTGGATAAGCTAGTGGGGAATAAACCTGCAGAGAGATAATTAGTAAATGATGTGGGTGCATCGCATCTTCCCTTTATTTCCCATCAATAACAGTGGCTCAGGCATTTCCTGAAAATATGGCTAACCCTGAAGGAGCTGGTCTTGCCATGAAAGGAGTTGTTGGCTTTGTAGTTCAGAATGATTATACTTAGCCTCCTCCCCTCTGCCCTAGTAGCTGGAAACAGTGGTTTATTTTTAGTGTTTATATAGATAATAATGCTCAATAATGATTGTGCTTAAATAGTAGTACATAAGACAATTATTTTTATTCCTGAAAAAGTGAAAAATAAATCTTTGGCTTTTATTCATAGAGCAACCAATGTCTTTTATTTTAAAAACTCGTGTGATAAAGTAGGAGAAATTATTATTAATATTTTTTAAGTAGGCTCCACACCCAGCATGGAGCCCAATGTGGAACTTGAACTTACACCCCTGAGATCAAGACCTGACCTGACACTTAACCAACTGGATCACCCAGGCACCCCGGGAAATTATTTAAAGAGGCTGATAAGTGCTTCTTTTTAAATGTTCTTGTACTATCGATCACTGGTTTGAATTGAAGTTTTCTAAGAACAAAACTGCATCTGAGTAGCTCTTTTTTGATACAGCGTCCCTAAACTTTTTGAGGAAAACGCCAACTTTTATATTCTGGATTTGTTGCAGTTCCGGGAGGCTTTTGAATAGGTAGATGATAGCATGGTGTGTGTGTGTGTGTGTGTGTGTGTGTGTGTGTGTGTGTGTGTGTGTGTGTGTATAGAAAGACTGAACAACATAGCTGCTTATGCAGAGCTAGAAGGAAACCAAGGTAGGGTTTTGGCTGAACACTTTTTTTCTTAAAGGGGATCTGGCTGTGTCGGGGTTTACACCCATTGAGTTGAATATGAACTCGGTGTAAGAAGTTGAGTATTCTTTCTGTCTGTGAAGATTCATTAGGAAAT